TCCAAAAAATGAGAGTCCAGGAACAAGTGATCTCTACCAATCCTTCAAAGATGAACAAATGCCTATTTACTCAAACACTTCAAAAAAATGAAAAAGAAGGAATACATCTAAATACATTTTATGAGGTCAACATTACTCTAATACCAAAACCAAACGAAGACAACACACAAAAAAGAAAATTACAGCCTAATCTCCCTAATGACCACAGATGAAAAATTCTGAATAAAATCCTAGCAAACCAAATCCAACAATGCATTAAAAGACTAATACACCATGAGCAAGTGGAATTCATATTAGGAACATAAGGATGCTTCTGCACCTAAAAATCAAACATAATTCACTACATGAACAAGAAGAAAGATAAAAATCACATGATCATATCAATGGGTGTGAGAAATTATTTAAGATCCAACATCCATTTACTGAAAACCCCTAAAAAACTGGAAATAAACGTGACATAGCTTAACATAATGAAAATCATTTATAACAAACCCATAGTTAATATTCTTCTCAATGGTGAAAAATCGAAATTTTTCCAATAAGATCCGTACAAGACTCTCACCAATACTATTCAGCTTTGTATTAGAAGTTGTAGCTACAGCATTTAGACAAGAGAAAAACATAAAATGAATCCAAATTGTGAAAGAAGTAAAGCTATCATTATTTGCAGATGATGTGATAATATAGGTGGAGATTCCACAGAAAAACTAACTGAAATAATCAATATAGTAAAGTGGCAGGGTATAAAATCAACACATAAATCAGTTGCAATACTATACATAAACAATAAGTCAGAAGAAATTAAGTGATCCCACTTACAATAACATCAAAAAAATTAATTATCTAGTAGTAAACCTAACAAAAGAGGTAAAAGATATATACAAGGTCTTTTGAAATAAGCAGAAGATTCAAAGAAATGGAAAAATATTCCCTGTTTATGGACTGGAAGAATCAACATTGTCACAATCACCAATCTACCCAAAGTATCATATTGATTCAATGCAATAAAAATATCAATGGCATATTTCAAAGAACTGCAACAAATCCTACTGAAGTTCATATGGAATCACAAAAGACTCCAAATAGCAAGAGCAATCTTGACAAAGTAGAAAGAAACTGGAGGAATCACACTTCCAGACCTCCAGCTATATTATAAATCACAGTAAAGTTGGAACAGCCTGTACTAGAAAAAAAACAGATGCACAGGTCAATGGGACAGAGTTGAGCCCCATAAATAAAACCGCATATATATGGACAGGTTAGCATATTCATTGTACACCTAAATCCCCCTTCATACAAACCCTTTTTTCCATATGTCCTGGGAGTATCGGTTGTCCACAGTTGATTCCTTCTTCAGAAATTATTCTCAGGAAAAGACAGTCATCTCAAAGTCAGTTCCATCAGGGAAAAGCCTGCATCCAATGACTGTAGAAAGATAAATGGAGTAAGGAGTAGCCTTATTTCTAGGGACAACTCTGAAGGTCATCATAGGACTTCTGAGGACTCTATTGCAACATCATAATCCAACTTCCTCTGCCCAGTTCTCCCAGAAATTGTTCCCAAGCTCAGGTCCTCCAAAAACTCCTGCATGCAAACCCAGAATCTGTTTCAAGGAACCCAATTTGCAACATTTACTGAAATGGAAATTTTCCAAATATTAAACAGTTTACTGAAGTCTGAGAATGTGGTAGTGAAATTCATTGAAAATAAAAGTCTTTCTGACATATATAAAAACCTGAGTACATAAAATACATAAAAGAAAACATGGGCAAAACCTCTCATGACACAGGCTTCAGGGATGTCTTTGTGGATGCATCTCCAACAACAACAACAAAAAAAAAAAAGGATATAAAAAAGCTCCTTTACAGAAACTAGCACTAAAACAAACAAAAGATATTGTTTTGAATAGGAGAAAATATTTACATGCCATATAATGGACTAAAATGCAAGATCTACAAAGAACTAATACAATTCAACAAAAACAAAGACCTAATAAAAAATGGGCAGAAAAGGTAAACAAACACTTCTGTAAGGAAGACATACAGATGACCAACAGACACATGAAAAGATGATCACTTATCATTAGAAATACAAATCAAACCACAATGAGATACCGCCTTTAAGCCAGTGAGAATGGCCCCAATCAAAAAGACCGGTAACAACAAATGTTGGCAAAGATGTAAAGAAAAAACATTCCTACACTACAGGAATGTTTGTATGGGAAAATGGGAAAACAGTAGGAAGGGTTCTTACTACTGAAAGATAGATCTACCACATTATCCAGCTATTCTAGTCCTATGTATCTACCTGAAGAATGCAAAAACACTACCTTGAAAGGATATCTACACTTCTATGTTCATTGCAGCACTATATACAACAGCCAAGCAATGGAAACAATATAAATTCCCCAAAGATTAGTGGACCTAGAAGATATGATATATAAGCACAATAAAATACTACTCAGCTATTAAAAAAAAAAAAACAACTTGTGATTTGCAACAACTCAACAACTTGGAAGGAACTGGAAGGGATTATGCTAAGAGAAATAAGTCAAAACGAGAAAGACAAAAGCTGGATGTAGAATAACATGTAGAATATAGAGAAACAAAACAAAGGGTCAAATAAAACCAAACCAATAACAATTCCTAGAAATCTGACTGTAGAACTGATGATAGCAAAGGGAAGGTATAAGGGGGAAAGTAGAGAAGGGACAGCATAATAGACTTTGTGGTGCCTTTGTGGTAGATGTGGTATGTAACATACACCTGAAGAGCATGGTCCTATACTTCTCAATGATATACAGCACTGTAAACCAATGTTGCCTCAATTAAATAAATAAATGAATGTAGCCAGCCCAGAGGTGCTGTAGGACAGTAGCTCTAAGTCTTATTTCCCACCCCTGCCCAGGTGAGCATTCAACTTTAATGGTGCCCTTACCCAGCCTCAGACAATGTGCTCCCTGATATTGTCCTCTGTCCTTACACAGAGCTTTGGTCATTTATTTCTTTATACTGCTTGTGTCTGATTTATTAAAAAGCATATTCAAATATGATTATTTTGAGTAATTAGTCTTTTCTCCCCTTCTCCAAACACCACAAAGGCAGGTGTTTGATCTTATTCATCTTCCTACCAACGTGAGCATGCAACATAATTCAATGTACATCGGGGGTCTGACACTGCTGCTCTGAACTCTATATGTCTACTAAATTGAATGATGTAATCTCACATATTTACTCAAATTTTAAAATAAAATACTCCTTTTGGTATAAGAATTAGTAGTTACAAGTAGAACAGATAATAACCATACTGTAAATAGAGCACAGAAGCCCCTAGCACCCAACACAGGCTTTGAAATATTGTCAGTGCTTCCTACATTTTGCTGATTAATTTGTGTGTCACAGAGTGAACACCTACTCTGTAAAGACAGTCTTTAAAATTGTGTTCTTAGTCAAAAAGGAAAAATGAAGGCAAACAAGAGATAGTAATGACTATTCAAATCTATGATCAATTACTGGGAAAAGGATGCCCAAAGAAGATCAATTTTAATGCTATTGAACAGCAACAGTATTCTGCCCTAGAACATGAATTTTAACTTGAATTTTAACTTGAATATTCTCTTTCCACAAAAACTAAAAACTGAGAAAATGAGCTTAGATGTATTATTGTATCCAGATCTTTAAGTTGCTTTAGTTGGACTGTATTCAATGAAAAAAAATTATGTTCCCCATTTTATCTTGGTAAATACTACGAAGAGTTCATCTTTGAACAGATTCAAAATTTATAATATAATCACACTGCTTATTTTTTAAACACTTATCTTGAAAGTACAATAACCCAAAGTCAAACTTCACAGTACAGTACAAAAGGTATTACTGGTGTAACTGTTAACAATTATTGCTGATTCTTTAAAAATATAAGGCAAAACATTTAAAATCATGAATACTTCAAAGACCACTGGTTAGATCACCCTCTAAACCTTAAGCAAAATATTTAATTTCTGAGTCTCCATTTCCTCACCTGTAATATAAAGATAACAGGCATATCTATCTCAAAGTTGCTATCAGAATGAAATGCTTGAATGATACTGATTATAAAACACTATCCCTGGCACAAGATGATAATGTTAATTTTAATACTAATCAACATCATTATGAGTTTTTAACTCAGTGTAATCATTTACAACTTGGGTATATTATAAAGCTACAGATATATCTTTTATATATTATTCTCTACTTTTATCTGTTATTCTCTACTACCTTTTAGAAATGCTTTTCACAATCTTCTTTCAAAAGAGATCGCAAGGCTAGGGCGCCCAGCCCAGCCACACGGTCCTCACCTCTCAGGGGTTGCGGTGGCTCCCTCGAGGACCCGCTGCCTGGCTGTGTGGCTGCCAGGCGGCGCCCGGCCCGGTCTGCCTGCGGTAGCCGCTGGGGTGCGGACCTGTGGCGGGCGCTGAGACGCGACGGGGCTGCGCGGCGGTCCCGGCCCGGCCGCCCGCGCCGCCCCCGCCTGCCCGGCAAAGATGAGTGACGGCGACAACAGGTGCAGCGCGACGTCCGCAGCTTTCCCGGAGCCCCCGAGTTTGGCGCGTCAGGCCCCGGGGGTCAAAGTTTGACTCTGGAAACTACTCTCAGCTTGCAAGAGTCTACTGAAGTCGCCCCGCTTTTGCACCTCAGTAAAGCCTGCGGTCACCTCGACTTCCCGAAACCCCTTAATCCCAGGGGCCGACTTTACTCCAAAGAAGAGGCGAGGAAAAGGCGTGCGGTGCATGGAGCTTTGCACAGCCGTTCGCGCTCTCCTCCCCGGCCGTCCGAAAGCAGGCAGGAGTGGCCCCAGAATCGAGTTCTGGATCCGTACACCCCAAGTTCGTCCCCACCACCTCCATCTCCGCCCCCGAGACGGCCCGGCTCGGCGACCCAAGGGTCAACGCCGAAACGCGCCCGCCCGCGCCACTGCCGGGTTTACGGCGCCCGCCCGCACCGCAGCCCGCCGCCGAGGCGACGTCGCCAGCCCCTCCCCGCCCCTTAGGTGGCAGGTTCAGGGCCCGGGTGCGAGCCCGCGCCCCTGCAGCTGCCATCGCCGCCGTCACCGCCAGGGGGAGAGTGTCTCCGTCGGGAAACCTGGTGCTGCTGCTTCGGTGTGAAGGTGCTTTCAGACTTTGGGGGTTTGTTCCTGTCCCACTGTGTTTTAAGAGCGGAGAGAAGATGGAGAGCGAGTCCGGAGCGGTGAGTAAGGCGGTCGGGCCCCGACCCCGGGGGCAGCAGGGAGAAGGAACAACGTGGACTCCATCCCTGAGGGGCTGGAAAGGCGCGGTCTAGCCCCCAAACGCCCACTGTTTTGTTGGGAAGAAACGCCGACGCGGCGCCCCATCGACTGCCGGCGAGAGCCGACCGTCTGCAGGTTCCGTGGGGTGATTTCGTGGGGTCGCCGAGGTGCGGCTACCGGCCCTGGGCCGGCTCAGAGTTGCGGGGGACCCCGGGAGGTTTCGGGAGATCGTGGGTGGCCGGGCCCTGTGCACCTAGCGGTGTCCGGGGCTTGAGGAACAGCTTTCCCGCCGAAACTGGGCTGGGCTGCGTCTTTGACGCTTCCTTCGGCCGGACCTCGTCCAGGCGCCCTCGGCGTGGAATGGCCAGGGTGACCGACGCCTCCTTTCCCTGACTGATCTGGGGGTGTCGGAGAGGCCCACACGACATGCTGGAGAGCCGGCCGGGGGCCCGGGCAGACCTGGTCACTAGAGTGCGGCGTGCACGCCCAGACGGTCTAGCCAGCGGGGGGCGGGGAGGGGTGTGGAGGGGGGGCGGGGCAGGCCACCGGGCCGGCCACAAGGCCGCGGCAACGTGCCGCCGCGCCCCGCCGGCAGCCAATCAGCGCGCGCCACGCGGGGGCCTCCGGGCTGGCGGCTCACGAGGCCGACTTCCCGGTCGGTGCCGTTGAGGGTTCCCGCCACTGCTGCTGGCGGGTTTGGGGGACAAAATTTCTCGCTGGTTAGCCTTCTTTTCCCTCCCGCACTTTGGTGGGGAGGGGGTGGATCCTCGCGTCAGTGCCCAAGTTCATGATGACCCGAGAGAACCCGAGGAAATTGTCGCCGCGGCCATTTCCCCCAGCGCCTCGTCCTGCTGGCCTCGGAGGGGAAGGAGCGCGGAGGCCGTGATCGCGACGGTTAGCCCACCTTCGTCCTGTGATCGTCTGGGGCGGGCTCTGGTAGATTTCCAGGTTCTTTTCCCAGGGGTGGAGGCTCTGCGGGGACCCTGCATTGGAGGAAAATTTTCATAAACGCGTCAGTGTTTAAGTTTTACTGAGTTAAGGGCTGTCATAATCCAATAATCGCGTCTACCAAAATGCTTTTCGCACTTTTGCAAAATGATGCCTCTGTAATTTGAGGCTTGCTTCGTCGTTTAAATGCAAAGCTAAGTGAGACATTGCCTCTACCGAGGGTTAAAAAAACATCCAGTCTATTAATTCGTATTGTTTAAGGCTCCAGCTTAATGGTTGGGACCTAGTGAGCAGGAAGAAATGATTGATAACTCATTCCTTTGATAAATGTTGACTAAGTTCCCATCATTTCTTTAAAAGCTACGGTGAACGGGACAAAAAACCCTTCCCTCGTGAATATTAGTGTAAAGAGTCAAACAATGAATGAGACAAGTAAATATATCGTATGTTGGTAGTCAGGAGAAAAATTAAGAAGTTGGAGCCCGTAAAAGAGCAATGGAGTGGATTGGTCTATAAATTCTTTCTCAGTATTGTTGAACTAGTTTCTCAAGGTTGAGAGTAGAACACTACTATTAATGTCATCCCTTTCTCAATGAATAATAAGGAGTTGATGGCTATAGAAACAAATTTGACGATGAGTTCATCCATTGAATTCATTTTGTTTTTAAGAGAACATCCCAAAGATTGGTTTGTTTGTTTTTTAATTTACCAAAGAGGTAATTTCTGTACTCCAAACATTAGGCAGAGAGACCAAATTGTATCTATCTACTACAACTGTTCTATTCTCTAGCAATACAAACCCATAGTTGAAAAATAAAACTAAGCATCCTAGAATTATTCACTCTGGGCACCTTGTAAGTAAAGTGAATAAAGTTACAAATCCTCAGAGAAATGCTATTAATATTGGATTTGCCATTGAAAACTACAAAATTGCAATTATTAAACGTGATTTTTCTATGGTTTAATAAATGTTTTTTATAAACTTCCTTGCTAGCACACGAGAGAGGTGCTAGAGTTGTTAAGGTCCAACCCATCGCTTCATCATCACCACTGCCTTAGTCATTTCTCTGTATATCTGCAAAGATTAATTCAGGGATTATGGTTTTACTCGCCAATGAAGTGAAAGAAGAAAACAAATGTGAAAAAGAACAATCCCATTACCTAAATTGGATATTCATTGTCATGTATTTGTTACTCAGGGAACTGAAATTATGAACACAAAGCTTTTTAAAGCACTCATTGAGTAGATCATCAGACTGTCTCAGAAGTCTACTTAGTGACCTTAGAAGGAATACAATTAGCATGTTTTTTATTCATATTTTTCCAAATGCTATTAACAAGTCAATGTTTTTTTAGATCACCCTAAGTTTCATTACTTGCCTTTGTGCAGAAGCTCACATGTTAATATGTAGTTATTAAAGTTTAAATTAAGTTCCCTGACAAAATTATACATATGTACTGACCCCAATTCTTTGGTATAAAAAAATTTGTAAAATTTGTAAAAAAAATTGAGTTAGGCCCTCCCTGGTGGCGCAGCAGGTTAAAGCACAGCACTAAAAAGCTAAAGCCACTTCAGCATGACCCCCAGAGGAGACCCACATGGTGCAGCAGACCTTTCCTGGCCGGCCTGCTGCTCCCCTCAGCAGTGTACTTCATCGTCAGTGGGTGGTTCTGCTCCCTACTCTGTCTCTGGTGAATCCTCTCACCGCCCCTGCACCTCTGGCCTGTACCTCAATTCTGTATGCATAAATAAATAAATCTTAAAAAAAAACTGAATTACATAACCTTAGTCAATTTAATCTTTTTGAAATTTTTTTATTAATTGGATTTTTTCTCACATAGTTGCAGTCCCCATTGTTTTCCCACTACTTTATCACCCTTGAACCATTAGCATATTCCCTTGTGTTCTTTCCTCTTTGTTTTGCCATCCCTCCCACCCCCTCCTCTGTAGTATGCCTCAGTTCTATGGCCAGCTTGCTAGTTTTGATTTTTTTTCAACCTTTTTTTTTTTTTGGTTTCTCTATATTCACATATAAGTGAGATTAGATTATCCAGTATTTTTTTTACTTCTGATTAATTTTAGATAGCCTTCCAGTTCTATCCTTGTTGCTGCAAATAGCATGAGTGTCTTTTTTGATTGCTAAGTAATAATTCCATTGATAAATATAGCACAATTTTTTTATCCATTTATTTTGAGACATTTGTGTTGTTTACATATCTTGTCTATTGTAAATAGTGCTGTGTAGTCAATCTAATCTTTAAATTGATAAATTTTATTTAAATCTTTATTTAAATTTTTTACTTTGGACCTGAAAAATTGTGAGTTTATGAACTTGTTGATGTCTTTTACCCAGAACAAATCAGTAGTTAATAAATTGGGTCTGTTTAACTATTACAACAAGGAAGAACGTGCACTTGCGGGCTCTTTCACTAAGAGGGTTGTTAGAAATGACTTACAGAGCTTAGTTAGGCTCTTGGTCAGCAATTTTTAAAGAAGACACTGAAAAAGGGATTTATTCTGAAATACATGTCAGGAAGGGGGAGTAATCTTATCATTAGGTGTATTAGTTCTTATCTAGAAAGAAAGAACCTTAGATCAAGATTAAATCTAATTAATAAAAAAGGAGTAGTTACTCATATCAGCCAGGATAGACGGGGGTTTGCTCATTCTTGTGATTTGGACAATATTTTTGTTTTCATCAGTATTCAAACTTAAATATGGAGTAGTCTTGCTTTTATCTTTATCCATCACCATCATATAGGATCCTTGTCTTAAGGTGATGTTGTGTTGAAAAGAGAACACCATAGCCTAGCTGTGAGTTACAGACCAATGGCTAACACCGGGAATGAGCCGGTCATTCCAGGCCAGCTCCTAGCTAACTGTCCAGGTCTATTTTTCTCTTTCTCAGACTTCTTTTTGAATTGATATTTTTCCTTAATGTTTATAATATTTAAATGATATATTTAATTAACATAAGTGTATTTACAAAACATATTTAAAGTTTTACCCATAGTAGGTAGATTCTGCATTTTCTGTATTTTTATTGGTACACAAAGTTAATAACTAATTATAATCTTCAAAATGTTAGAATAAAAGAAAAATCTAAATCCACTGCACTAAATAATTTTGTGAGATACTTACTTTCAGACTATCAAAATGTATATCCAGTGCTAAAACTTTAAATAATTTTAATTTACAGCAAACATCAAATCAGACGCAAACAGATTCATTATCTTCCTCCCCTAATCCCGTGTCACCTGGGCCTCTGAATAATCCAACAAGTGCCCCAAGATATGGAACAGTGATCCCTAATCGCATCTTTGTAGGAGGAATTGATTTTAAGGTACTTATTTATGCATACAACAAAGTGTATTTTTTTTGTATTAGAATTTATTTTGTTTCTCACAAATTGTTTCTTTGTGTATATATGAAAATAATGAAAAATTTCTATTTGGATTGATTAGTAGATTTCATATTGTCTTTATATAAAAACTATTTTAATAGCAATGTAGATTAAAGAAAGCATATATCACTACCAAGTTCACATACAAGGAAATGGAGACTTATTGACATGTTAATAGCATGTCAACTTTTCAGTGATAGGGTGAAAACTAGAATCCTGGTTTTCTGACTCATAGTTCTATAGTATTCATTTCACCATACCACATAAATTATACTTTCTATATAAAATTACAGTAGCCCAGATAATAAGTGATTAAAATTTTCAAGACTCAGTTAAATACACGTACACAACTTAGTTCCTGTGAAGTCCTTTCTTTATCCCAAATTTCATCTCTGCTTCCTAAGTAATCTAGACTTTCATCTTTTGCAGATTACGTGGTCTAACTTAAAATCTGGTGACCAAAAGGGCTTTGTCCTTGTCAGAATAAAGAATGTTAACAGTAATATATCAAATAACATAATCAACCTATGTCTTCCAGAAAATAGTTTGTAGCACCCTCATATAGTAGGTATTAGTAAACACCTACAGGAAATGAATGTGTGCTCATGTGGAGATACAGGATTTCTAAGTGTCTATAAACATTAGAAATTACAGGGAGAGTTCTCTTAATTAAAAAATAATAATACTTGTATTATGCAGGTATAATATGTGACATAACTCATTATTTCCCTAAAATGAAGCTATCACAGTTTTAATGGAATTAATTTTTTTCTGTTCAAAAGAAATGTTTCACAATTATTGTAAAAATAATTCTTTTAAGTACATGATTGATTTACTCAATATAAATAAGTGATCTCTTATGAATTGACAAAAGATAAAAAATTTTTCTATTTCTGTGGAAAATGTTAATAACTAACCATAAATATTCAAGTTGGGTATTTGTATTCAGAATTTATGCTAACATAGTTTGGTATAGTTTTTAAAATAAATGATCAATAAGTGTAAACATGTATATGGCTAGGATAGTCCAGGTTCTTAAACCTCTCAGCTACCAATGGGAGCTATTGTTAAAGTGTAGTCTTATCTAAGGTATCTACTAGTGTTGCCTCTCTCATGTCTTTTCTAAAAACATAGATAAATGCCAGCAAGGAAGTAGTTTACTGTAGTGGAAAGCAGTTACAAACATTCTTTTTTTTTTTTTTTTTAGCAGTCACAAACATTCTAAATCTCTTCTCTTTAGAAGCCCACAGCCTAGCCCTCCTAATATTTAATGATCTTAACTTTGTCTCCTTACATTATGACAAAGGAACTGCAAAAGTAAACTAGTAATTCAGAAAAGGTTGTATGTTTTCAGATCTCTAATAGAAATCATTATTCTGCCAGATTCCCTTTTATGTTTATTGAAATAAGAGGCATTGAATTATTCTGTTATTCTCAGATTAACAGTATTTTTCATTTCAGTTTAGCAGGTTTTATGTTACAACTTGAAACCAAAATATATTTAAACATGCATATTTAAGAAATGAGTTGGCAGTGAAACTCAAGTGGCATAGCTCTGCTCTAAGATGTCTTTTCCTCTGTATATAAAGAAAATTTTTTCTAGGAGTATTTAAAGTTACTTATGAGAACAGCTATAGTTGAACCAGAAGTGAAATTGCAGTGATTTTAATGAGCATACTTTAAGAAAAGGCATTGTGAATGAGATTACATCATTTAAAACTAGATATGCCACAACCTTTCTTGAGGACAATGTAAATTATAGTCTAATTATGGCTAAAGTTTTTATTTTGAATATTATAAAATTTATGTTGAATACAGATAAAATATCTGTATTTGAATCTTGGAGACACTACACTTAGCACAAATAAAGCTTTCAAGTACTTTTGAAAATACATTCGTTAAACCTTGTTCTTCCTAGAGACCATGCTTTATTAAAATAATTGTTATAGGCCAGCATAATCTTCTTCCACTTGCATGACTATACATCTCTCTGAGCCACAAGAACCAGTAGTAAGTAATATGCTCTTACTGTAGTTATAGCCATGCCCAATTCAAATTTTAACTGGTGAATTAGAGAACAAGAATTCCTTTAAAGAGTAACTTACTTTGCAGTTCTAAAACATTTCAGCTTTAAAAGATATGTTACAATAGTTTAAAAGCATAGTTAATGCTGTTAATTTAATGCTGTTAACATTAAATTAAATAATTAACAGCATAGTTAAAGCAAATAGTTTATATTGATTTAATAGCCTAATGATTTCATGCATTGCTTTTATGAGAGACACTCTTATATTCTATTATTAAGCTTGTTTTGTGTTTTCTCTTTTATGTATTAGACAAATGAAAATGATTTAAGAAAATTTTTTTCCCAATATGGGTCTGTAAAAGAAGTGAAGATTGTAAATGACAGAGCTGGCGTATCCAAAGGGTTAGTATCGCTGTAGATACTACATAGAATAAGCAATTGTATTTTTATAGGATTCCTAGATTTTGCTTGCCAACTTTCTGTTGTTCTATCTGTAAAAAAATAACTCTATGCCCTGTTCTTTCCGCTTACCTTTTGATCTCCTGTTTCTTCTTCTCCTGTGTATATTGAAGTTTATATTTAAATTATCTTTATGTATTTTGAAGGGAAGGGAACATAATAATGTTTCTTAATTTGTTAAAAAGTTATTCTTACATGAACTCAGAGACCATTAGGTAACAAGCACTATTGAGAAGCTAATGTCTAATAGCTCAGGAACCAGAAGCTAAAAAATCATACACTTTTTAAATGATATACCTGTCTTATATTAGAGAGAGCTTTATTTGAAAAAAGCTAACATCAGAAATGTCTGTGGGGTGTACCTCAAAGACTTAAGTAGAAGACTTATTTGAGAAATACAACCCTTAACTGGGATGATTTTTAATTGTCAAGGGAAATGAAAATTGAGAAGAAGCAGTGAAATTTGTCTAAAAATGCCTAATGACTTTAAAGTTCTTTAAGTAGACTGGTATATACAAAAGCCAATTTCAGAGAAGACAAAGGTGCTTCATGTAATGTACTTTCTGGGAAAATGGATAAAGCAGTAGAGAACAATGGTTGTTTTCTTGATAGAATGGCAAGGCATACATATTTATAGATATAAAAGGAAGGGACCGAAGAGTGGAAGAAAACTGTATTAGTAAAAAATAATGTATGACTTGTGGTTACTCTGAGAAAGATGATATCCTTCAGTGAAGTTATTTTTAAATAGACAAGATACTTCTTCAGACTGACAAACAATATTAGGATGAAGTAAGATTGTACCTCTTTTGTTGAGCTAGTAGCACTTGTAGTGTAATATCCTTTTTTAAAATCATTGAAAACCACATTTGAAAATGTAAACTGTATTTTATTCATTTTCCACTGGGTGGTGTATGTGTTCTACCAAAAATATCTAGTATAAAACTACTTTGTTAACCCATTTTTAATGTTTACACAAAATAGAAAAAGAAATGCCTTTACCAGGAAAAGAAAATTTATATAAAATACAGTAATAATGAATTGAAGAAAATAGTAGTCAGGATATTTAACATTTCTCTAAAGAGTTTCCTTAAGTTACATAAATTGAAGTTTCTCTTTAGGGAAATATATTTATTTTTCTTTTAGCTTTGCCTACCTATTTTGGCTTCTTGAACATGGCTTCTTCATGTATTTGTATCTTGAACATTACTAAATTGCATTCTCAAGGTAATATTTACGTGTGAAAAGCAGACATAAAGTCTGTGCTATACATATGTTTAATTGATTTTGTTTGAGATACATACTAGTAGTAACATCTTTGTATACTTGTTTACCAATATTAAAAAATAGATAAATTTTAAATTTTTTTAAGTTTTTCAACTTTGATTCTTATTAAAATCAAAGTCCTATTATTTTAAAAATAATTGCTTAGGACTGAAAATCATTTCACCCTAATTTGTAAGTCAGAACATGAATCTCATGCTTTCCTGCCTTTTATATAACTCAGGCCTAAAATTCTTTCCTGATATTTGGCAGTTTTGTTTTGTTATTTTCTTTTCCTTTCAGTCCCCTAAGATAGAGGTGACAAATTAGTAAGTAGTGAGTGATTCTCCTAGTTTTACACACTGTTGTAGCTTAGAGAAGTGCAGTGCCCAATTTTTAAAGAACAAAATTTTTAAAACCTTAATATAACTAGTGTGATGTACTAAGAAAATAATTAATGCATTTATTCAGGTATGGTTTCATCACTTTTGAAACACAAGAAGATGCACAAAAAATTTTACAAGAGGTAAGATCTTTTGATGTATTTAACTTCATTTTGGGGACTTCTTTGAAATTAATCTTTTAAGGTGTTATTTTAACTATAGAATTTCAGTCCAATGATAAGTTGCTTTAAAAAAAATTCTTCTAACTTATTTGCTTCCTAAAATTGATCTCTGAGACATTCTACAGGGGTGGAGTGGAGAATGAGATTGAAAAGGTACGGGGGAATGCACAGGACTATGGTGATGGCATATGGGTGATTTGGTGATAGGAAGTCCTCGGGGATTACAACTGAGATGGAAAAAGGCACAAAATGATGTAAAAATAAAGTATTATAATAAAATCAAATAAAATAGTTTAAAAAAATCTCTGAAATTTGTCTTTAAAGATTAAGTTAAAAATAAGATTGAAGTCAAATACTGTACAAAAATGAATGATGTAAGAAAATAAATTTTAAAATAAATAAGATTAATAAAAATTCCAAATCATTAAAACACGATGGTCACAAAGTTGTAATAATTTTTCACCTTATTCTCTGTTTAACATAAAAACTTCAGGGTAATCTTTTGTGAACTGTCACTAACACTTTGAATTCCTAAAAAACACTACAGTGAGTAGTAGTTAATAAGTGAAGTTAACTGAAATTATTTCCTTCTTATAAAAAGCTATCTAAACTAAGCATTCATAGAAAAAGTAAAAGTCTGTTGTTCAGTACAATAAATTATGACAAACATAACATTTAATTTTTTAGGAAGAATTTGAATTAGATATTATTAAATCATATGCAGTCTGTTCTCATTATTTATATAGTAGTTATGTTCTTATGAGGTTGCCATGAGCACTAAGGTAGCAAAGACTAAACTATTATTTCTGGAGGAAATAGAGGATTAGGTCCCCACAGCTTGTAGTCACAATATTTTCACTAACCAGTCAATATGTAACCTTTTTTATGTGTGTTTCTGTTTTAAAATACCATTTTTAATGTGATATTAAATAGTGTTGATTAACTAACATGTAACTTACAGCCAACAGTATTATACACGACTGTAAAGTAAACCCTCCAAACACATTTTCTTCATTAGGTACATGATAGTCTTGTGCTTAGGAATACTAATCGGCACTTCAGTACTACACTGGAGGGCTATCTTAAATAGCAAAATCACCAGCAGGGTGCAGAAAACATGGCACTAAAGAAAATACAAAAATTATTCCTGTTTATATATACAAGCAAAAACAAGAAGACAGAACTACCTCTTTTAACCTCAGCAGGGACCACAAATAGAAGGCAACTCCAAAATTTCTCACCTCTCTGTTTGATAACTAATAATCCCTAAATTGACACACAGTATTAAATTGGGGGTTACAAATAAAATTTAATGAACAGGTGAATTCCCAAATATAGGGTCCTCGAATAGAAGATTGACCAATATTCCAGATGAGGAGTTAGGGTTGGAACACTGGAATCAAGATTCAGACCCAAATCGTTTTAAATCCAAACACTTTCTACCATACCTTGATGATTTCAGAGAACATAAGAATGTTAGTCTGAATTTTAAAAATTGTTCCTCAGTAGTTTTTCCTTAATAGCTTTATAATAAGCAATGCCAAAATAACAACATTTTTTCTTCTTTTAGGCTGAAAAACTTAATTATAAGGATAAGAAACTAAACATTGGTCCAGCAATAAGAAAACAACAAGTAGGAATCCCTCGTATGTATTAACAACTAATATATTTTTCAATAGTTTTTATGATCTTCTTTTGAAATATTAGATTTTATAGAACATTAAAATATCAGGTCTCTCTTACTTACTAAAGTTATCTTAGAAAATTTTTTGGTCAAATAACTATTTCTACCACAAATTAATACAGATTTTTTAATAGGGAAAAATGCACAAATAAATAATGAAAATTAAATATATTCCATAGTTATATCTTTTTTTTTTTAAGATTTATTTATTTATTTGTACAGAACTGGGGTACAGGCCAGAGATGCGGAGGGTGAGAGGATTCACCAGAGACAGAGTGGGGCACAGAACAGGCAGATCGACAAAGTACACTGCTGAGGGGAGCAGCGGGCAGGTCAGGAGAGGTCTGCCTCGCCATGTGGATCTCCTCTGGGGCAGGCGGGGATCAAGCTCAGTGGCTTAAGCTTCTTTGTGCTGTGCTTTAACCCGCTGCGCCACCAGGGAGGGCCCTCCATAGTTATATCTTTAAAGCCAAAATCTTTTATGATAATATTATTTACAATGTAAAAGTAATTATAATAATTTAAATTACTAACTAGAAAATTTCTAATTAGAATAGTAATTTAAAAGTAGAGTGCAAATTCTGAAAGTGAAAATACAGAACCAGTAACAAACATTTTTCGGAAATTATATTTTTAAGTTTCATTAAACTTTGCAAATATTATTTAATATTTCCTCTAGGTTCCAGTATAATGCCAGCAGCTGGAACAATGTATTTAACAACTTCAACGGGCTATCCTTACACTTATCATAATGGTGTTGCTTATTTTCATACTCCAGAGGTAACTTCGGTCCCACCACCTTGGCCTGTGAGTAGTTTGATTTTAGAAAAGCTTACATTTATTACTGTCAAAATATTTTTTTTTACTATTTTATATCTGAAATATTTCAGTGACTGGCAAGCTATATTCTGCTCAGGTCTATTTGATACTAACATTTTAATAGGGAGTAGTAAAATATGATAAATTAGGTAGAGTCTCTTTGCCCCCATTTCCTTTTTTTTTAAAAAATAAATTTATGCATAGAAGAACTGGGGTACAGGCCAGAGGTTTGGGGTGGGTGGTAAGAGGATTCCACAGAGACAGAGTGGGGAACAAAACAGGCAGACTGACCTATCTACACTGCTAGAGGGAGCAGAGAGTGAGATAGGATAAGTCTGCTGCTGTACCATGTGAGTCATCTCCCTGGCTGGGGTTTGAGCTCATGCTACAATGGCTGCAGATAGCTTCATATGCTGCACTTTCACCCCTTGCACCCTGCCCTATTTTCTTATTCTGTTTTCCTACTTAGAGTTTTCCTGTCCATTTTATGTTTTTTACTACAAATGACATGTATCCTTAATATATAGCTCTGCTTTGGGTAATTTTTAAATACCATGGAAATAGTCTGATTTTTCTCCCCAACACTATGTTCTTAAGATTAAACTATGTTGATCCTGTTTGCAATTAAACCATGGTGATCCTAGTATATTTAGTTCACTTATTTCAATATTTTATAATATTTCATTTTAGAGATGGACACTTAACATTTTTTTCTACATCAAGACTACAGTGAACATCCAGATCTTGTATGCATTTGGTGAGAGTTTATCTAGAATAGGGGCTTTCAAAGTTTTTTATTTTTATATCACCAAAAAAAAATTGTTTTGAAAAATTATGAATATGCATATTCATTTTTAAGTTGATGTCTATAACTTGTCAAAGTTTAAATAGGCACATTATATATTGTAGATTTGCTTTAACTCTATTTTTACAAAGCTTAAACATTCATAGATTTTAAGTATAGACACTGTCCAATGTGTAGTCATAGATGTTAACTAGACATAGCATAGTGATCATGTCACAGAATATATATACAATGAATAATTATGTAGTACTAAAATAATGAAACTAATATAATGCTATGTCATTTATATCTCAATAAAAAGAATGGAAATATTTGCTCTATAACTTAGTTAACAAAATTCACCAACTGATTAATACTAGTCACCCAGTAAATCTTATTAGAAAAATCTGACTTTATTTTCTAGTTCAAATAATTAAGTTTATATGCCTGTGACTATCATGTAGTGATCCATCCAGAATGAAATTAGGTACTACTCCTTTTTAATATTTTTTATACAAGCTCTCTTTGTTTTGCTCTTTCTTTTTCCAAACAAGATTGCTTTCATGCATTGTCTATTTGTTTGATGCCCTTATTGGTATTTATATTCAAAAACAAAACTTTATCCTACATCCAGAATGAATGGGAAGTACACCTTTCATAGGGAAGGAAAATTGGGGATAGTGGAAAAGGAATTATAAAAAGAAGAATTCATAGTACACAGACATGCACACACAAGATCAAATAAAGAAGAACATAAGAAATTTAGGATCACAAAATTAATACTCTTAAACCTATTCATGCATGCACATGTGCCGCTGGAAATTTTTTGTGTTCCTCTCTCTTGGCCAAGGCTGCATAGAAGTAGGATTTTGTATTTGTAGAGCATGCATGTCTTTGAATTAGTTGCCAAATAGCTATTCAAAGTATACTAGTTTATACTTAAACCAATAGTATATGAAAGCTCCAGTTTCTCCATAATCTGCAACTTTTTAAATTTTGAAATGTTTCTTGTTTTAGTCAGTATCTCTAGTCACAGGTACTATTGACCATATTTCAGAAGTTTATTGCCCATTCCAGTCTTGTCTTTTATGAGCTGTCTCTTCATATCCTTTGTCCTCTTTTCTTTTAGGATTGTCTTTTGTCTTAAGTTCATTGTATGAATTTTGTGAGTTGTAAATATCTTCTAATTTGTGGCTAGTCTACTAATGGTCTACTAACAATTTTTTGGTTATAGATAAATATTTTGTTACAATGTTGTCATGTTATGTCCTCTGTTGTTTCAGTTTTTAGTGTCTTTTTCTTAAAGTATGTTTATATTACAAGAATATATTCTGTTTTATTTTTAAGTATTATAATGTTGCAGTTTTTTACATTTCTTAAATCTGGGGTTTATATGTTTCCCAGTCCATCTGATTTCACTGTTATTGAAAATGAGTCCTCTGTCAAATACTAAGTTTCCATGTGTCAGGGTCTCTTTCTGGGTTATTTGGGTTTCTGTCTCTGTGTATCCTCTCTAGCAGTTGTTATTGGGAGTCATTGTAATATTTGTCCTTTTCATTGGTGTGAGATATCTCATTATGGTTTTAACCTGCATCTTTTTTAAATTAAACTTTTTTATTTTCTTACACTGGTGTTCATTTTAGAGCAATATTTCATTTCTCTCCTCAGGTATAGTCCCCATAAATCTCCCACTACCAGATCAACTATGAACTATCACCATAGTCCCTTATGCTTTTCCTGCTCCTGTTTTGAGCCCTCTCACTCTCCCCTGCTATATGTCTCAGATCTATAGTTTGCCTGCAAGTTTTGTCTTTTTTCTGACCCTTTGTTCAGTTTCCCTATATTCCTCCCATAAGTGACACCATCTAATATTATCTTTTTCCTCGGACTTATTCCACTGACTATAATCCCTTCTAACTCCATCCTTGTTGCTGCAAATGGCATGATACTCTTTTTGATTGTGGTATTCCATTGTGTAAGTATACCACATCTTCTTGATCCAGTCATCTGTTTTTGGACATTCAAGTTGTTTCCATATTTAGCTATTATAAATAATGCTGCAATATAAACATAGGGGTGCAGGTTCCCTTTTGAATTCATTTTTTGTGTGTGTCCTTTGGGTAGACTATGAGGAGTGGAATTGCTGAGTCATATGGTAGATCCATTTTTAGTTAAGTTGAGGGTCCACTATAGTGGTTGGGCCAGTTTGCATTCTCACCAGCAGTGTAAAAGATTAAACTGCATCTCTTATTGGAAGCTATGATGGATATTGTCCATATACCTGTTGTAGAAATTAATTTCACTTGTTATCATTAAAGTCTATTTTACCTTAATTAATATAATACTCCTTTCTTGATTATATGACTTTATTTGGGATTTACTCTATTGTTTTGAATTATCAAGAAGTGTTAAAAGTACTTTCTGTAAGCAGATATATCACGTGTAAGTTTATTGGATGATTAACTCATTTACATGTCAGATTTGTAAAATAGAATTTGACAAAGGCTTCAATAGATTAATTTGCTTTAATTTAAAAAATAAAAGAAATAGGATGCTATTGTAATTAGTGAGAAATCAGCAGCAAAAATCGTATTATAATTATTCACTTAATTCTGAAAGCTATGTAAGTAAGAACCATCTACTTCTGATCCCCATAATAGAAATAGGCAATGTCACCCTAGGCTCACCTGCTGCTTTTCTCTAAATATTTTTGGACCTTTGGAGGTCATATACTTCAGACTAACAAAAACTTTTCTGGTGGTGGTTTTAACATTATTGAATATTGAATTACATGGAAGTAGGAATTCCAAGATATATTAATTCCGTGTAGTTGGTAATAATATCAATAAGAGGAAGAAATATGACATTTCTGATCACAAACCACAGTTGATGGGGTTTAGGTAACAAAGTAAATTTTACTGTAAATAACTTTGAAGAATTTTGCCTGAGATAATTTTTCTATTTTTCTTTCTTCTTATAGTCACGTTCTATATCTAGTTCCCCTGTGATGGTAGCCCAGCCAGTTTATCAGCAACCTGCATATCACTACCAGGTAAGCATTAAATTATAATGAAAATTGTATTTGATACCTTTCATCTTTTTCTTTCTAGTCACATATTCATCATCATGCCCTTAAAATTGCCAATTTGATAAGAATCTTTTGTTTCTTATACAAATTCTTAAATTGATATATATTTTATCAGGTTTTATTATTGAAACAGGTAATTTCTTTCTTACAAGTAGTGGTTTTATTTATCTATGTATAAATCATTTCAACTTTTTATGACAATTTTCTTGATTTCTAATTTCTGAGATTACATTTTTGCTCTTCCATAACTGTACATGCCCTGCACACCTTCCATCAAACCACTTGTTCCAATATGAACATATTTTCTTAAGAAATTATATATTATTCTACCTTTTTAAATTTAGTTTAGGGAATATAGGTATCACATTATCTTGGTCATCATTATAATACAGTGATGTTATACATTCACAGTTGAAGTAGTCAGTAATAAAGAAAATGATTTGGTTTAGATGGTAGACCCATAAGTTCTTCTTATTCCCTTGTTTTTTGACATTAGAATTCAAAGACTATTAGAAATTGTAAATAAATAATATAAACATTTTTCAGAAATAACTTAAGAAATTAAAAGTATGTTTTATATTGTCATTTTATAATATAAGTACTTTAACATTTTCAAAAAATAAGTTTTATTTAGCTATAATTCATATACGTTACAAATCATCTACTTGAAGTGAGTGGTAGAGTAGTGTTTACTAAATTCACAGTTGTGCAACCATGGCACAGTCGATTTTAGAGCACTTAAATAACCCCACAAAAAAACCTTACCGTTTAGCAGTTTCTCCTCTTTTCCCTCTATCTAGGCAACCAATAATCTTTCTATATTTATATATTTGTTCATTCTGCACATTTCATGTAAGTGGAATCTATATAGTCTTTCCCTTCACTTGAAATAATGTTTTTAAGATTTATCCATGTGGTGGCATATATCAAACGTCACTCATTTCTGTAGCTGAATAAAATTACATTTTGTGTGTGTGCATATATACTACATTTATTTATTCATTCCTCAAATGATGAATACTTGGGCTGTTTCCATTTTTGGTTGTTGTAAATAATGCTATTATGAATATTTATGTACAAGTTTTTGCATGGATGTTTTCATTTCTCTTTGGTTTTGTGCTTAGAAATAAAATTGCTAAGTCATATTATCATTTTTGTTTAACTTTTTAAAGGCACGTCATACTGTTTTCCAAAGGCTGCACCATTTTACACACCCATCACCAGTTTATGAGTATTCTAATTTCTCCACATCCTCATTAACACTTATTACCATCTACCTATATTTTTTTAAAGATTTATTTATTTATGCATACAGAACTAGGGTACAAGCCAGATGTGCAGTGAGAGGATTCACCAGAGACAGAGTGGGGAGCAGAATAGGAAGACAGAGGCAGTACACTGCTGAGGGGAGCAGTGAGAAGGCCAAGGGAGGTCTGCTGTGCCATGTGGGTCTCCTCCAGCTCTGGGGATCAAACTTGCACTGAAGCAGCTCTGTGGCTCACTTGCAGTGCTGTGCTTTTACCCATCGTTCCACCAGAGAAGGCCTCCATCTATCTTTTTTGATTACAGCCATGCTCTTGGATATGAGGTGGTATCACATTATAGTTTTGATTTCTGTAACCCAAAGACTAATAATATTAATATTAAATACATTTTCATATGCTTATTGGACATTTGTCTATCTTCTTTGATGAGATATTTACTCATATCCTTTACCTATTTTTAAATTGGGTTACTTGTCTTTTTATTATTAAAAGAGTTCCTTGTGTATTTTTGATACAAGTTCTTAACAGATACATAATTTGTAAATATTGTTTCCTATTCTGTAGGTTTATTTTCACTTCTTTATAAAAAAAAGAATCAATCACATAGAAGGTATAGGTATAGGCCAGAGGTATGGAGGGTGAGAGGATTCACCAGAGACACAGTGGGGAGTAGAACAGGCAGATTTACTGAAATACATTGTAATGAGAAGCAGTGGGTGAGACAGGAGAGGTGTGCTGTACCTTGTATGGGTCAGCTCCTTGGCAAGGGAGCAAACTCATGCTGTAGAGATGATATCACTGAGACTTAATCCCTGGGGCACCAGGAAGGCCCTGTTTGTACAGCTTCCTGGTGTCATTACATCATAAAAATTTTTTGTTTTAATGAAATCCTATTTACCTCTTGTTTCTTCTGCTTTTGGTGTCATGATTTTTAAAAAATTACATAAATAATAATCATAATGATTCATACCTGTTTTTTTCCATGAGCTTTTTATCGTTCTTATTCATAGGTCTTGGTTACCTTTTGAGCTAATTTTTATAGATGGGTTATGGTGCAGGAGTCTAACTTGATTCTTCTGCATGTAGTTACCCATTTAACTTTGCTTATAACATATAAACATGACATATAAAAGGTGGTATAGTTATATAAGATATAAATAAAGGGTTTATAATCTAGGTGAGTTCTCATTTTGTTTTTCATCTTAGGCCCCTGCACAGTGTCTACCAGGACAGTGGCAGTGGAGTGTTCCTCAGGTAAATATTAACTTTTTTCAATGTGTTTTTATGAAGACCACATGAATATTAGAATTGAGAGAACTAAGACCTTTTCTCTTATATTAACTGTGATATCTGTGACAATGTATTTAATTGCCATATTCCTATTCATATTCTATTCATATTCTATTTCCTCCTTTATAAAATGAATGTAATGATATACTTTTGTAAGTTTTCCTAAATAATTTTTGTAACAGTTGTATAAGATCTTTAAAATAAAAGCATTTATAAGTGAGTGATAAGTAGCATAAAAACATTTTATTATTAATATTATTGGAAATGTTAGCATTTTTAAAACATTGCAGATTTTTATTCAGTTTGACTATCACTCCTAAATAAGTATTCTATCTCCATCTCCCATCTTTTTATAACATATAGTAGACACCAAATAGATTGTAGTGACTTTTTCTCACTTCAATGAAAAGTCAAAACTGAGAAGACATTATATGTCACATTAGTATTACAAGTTATAGTTACAATTTTAAAATTATCTTAATATATCAATATCTAAATTTCCATATAAGCTCAGAACCACTAAGCTTTTAGTACTTAGCAGTGACAAAGTTCTTTAATTACATCTACACAATTTGGAATTTGTAATAACCCAGAGTTCCTAGTTTGTTGCTACAATACTTCTGTGCTACCCCTGTAAGAACTCTAGGAACATATGTATTGAACGTTTCTCTCCTGTTAGGTAAGCCATTCAGTTTAACTGAACTAACTGATCATATATGAAATATAATATTGTACCAAACCATCCAAACCCTAAAAATATGACTGTAGAATTGAGGCTACCAGAGGAGTAGGGAGAGAAGGAAAATAAAATGGGGAAGGGGCACAGTGAACTATGGTGGAGGACCACGGGTGCCTTGGTGGTGGTTATGGTGTGGTGACATACATCTGAGAGGGGTGATCTATGTACCTCTGAATCTTACACAGTGTTGTAAATCAATGGTACTTCAATATTAAATATACTAAATAAATCATGTTAATATATCATTTTGTATTTTAGTCTCCTGCTTCTTCTGCTCCATTTTTATATCTGCAGCCTTCTGAGGTTATTTATCAACCAGTGGAAATTGCACAAGATGGTGGATGTGTTCCTCCTCCACTGTCTCTAATGGAAGCTTCAGTTCCAGAGGTATATATTCATCTCAAAGTGATTTATCTGTAACTACCTCATCTTAACATTTACTTTTTTCTGTTTAAATATTTGTACAAGACTCTCAATGAAGCCATTTAATCTTATATTTTCTTTGATTTACTCATATATCTTCTAATTTAGATCTAAAAATGCTTTGTCTTAGACTTCACAAACAAGCCCTGAACTCTTATTCAAATCAGCTGTTCACTCAACTAGGGAATACCTACCCTGCTATTAAGTCATATAAGATTGTGTCTCTTGGGGCCCTCCCTGGTGGCACAGCGGGTTAAAGCACCACACTAAGAAGATAAAAGCCACTTCTGCATGAGTTCAATTCCCGCCTGCCCCGGAGGTGACCACATGGCGTGGCAGACCTCTCCTGACCTGCCCGCTGCTCCCCTCAGCAGTGTACCTCGTAGATCTGCCTGTTCTGCTCCCCACTCTGTCTCTGGTGAAGCCTTTCGCCCTCCACATCTCTAGCCTGTACCCCAGTTCTGTATGTACAAATAAATAAATCTTAAAAAAAAGATTGTGTCTCTTTGTAGACATTCCCTGCTTCTACCTTGACCTGACACACTCCTATATTGAAGCTCTGAAGAATTTGTAAATAAGCTTTTCAGAACACTGAACTTTAGAGAAATTTCTATCCGTTCTGATATCTTAGGAGCCATTATAATTCTTCCTTATGTTAATGCAAATTGCACAGAATCTGGCAGACATTCTACATTTTTTGTGGTTTGAAGATCATGGGAACTTCTTGTTTAATTAATAATGGCATTTTAATAAAATCTGTCTTCTGTTAGACTTGTTTTCTAGGTTGGGGGAGGTATAATAAGATAGGAAAGCTTTTACATTGCTAACTAGCATGAAAAATAAATATTTTTAGCCAGAATCAATTTTTGGCATTAAATCCTATTTTTAATTTCTAATATTAGATTTACCACCAGGTTATATTCACTATTTAATGAAATATAAGTTATACTGATATAGGTATGCTTTTATCTTAATAATGCATTTTAATACATAAGTTAATAAAGAGAGTTCCCCCCCCCCAGATTTAAAGACTAAAGAGCTTATTATTATAGTCAGGTTTTTAAAATTAATATGTTACCATTCGCTCTCACTTAATTGTCATTTGTTTGCCTCTTCACTCTTAGAATACAACTTTGCCTTCTATTCAGAATAAGTCAAAAACTTAGTGGCAACCAGTTCATCTTGTGACCACCACTTACTTGTATCATAACGCATCATATTTTTCAGTCATGTATACTTAATTGCCTCTGTGTCATTACACAGGATTCTGTCCTTTCCCTAATTCTTCAGATTCATTAGCTCCACTAAAAACATTCCCTGACCACTTCTCCAGCATTCGTAAGCTAAATCAATTAGTCCTTTTCTCATATGCATTTGCTATACTTATCTCATAGAACTTAAGATAATTTACTACTTGTCCCTCATGGGGTTAAAGATAATTAAAGATAAGGTATGTGTTTTTCATCTGTTTCTCTATTGTGTAGCAATACGCATGCCTACTACTATGTAATGCCTACCACTATATTTATTTACTATTTATTCCTAATGAATAAATAAAAGGCAATATTTTTTCTTTTTTTGTAATAGTCTTATTCTGATCATGGAATTCAAGCAACATATCACCAGGTTTATGCTCCAAGTGCCATTGCTATGCCTGCACCTGTGATGCAGCCTGAACCAATTAAAGTAAGGAGTTTGTTTTGCTTGTTTTAAATCATATCTCATGTTCTCCAAATATTCTGCTAAAAAGAAATGACTGGTATCTTTAGTACATTTATGATCATCAGTACAGAATTTGTGAACTCTTTCATGTGAAAGAAATATAATTCTAAACTGTAACCTCTATTTTAAGTGTTTATGGTTTATATGAATGATAATAGTGTAAGAAAATGTTATTTACTATGGTATATATAATTTAAAATTCTTCATTTTTAAGTGTACAACTGAATGTCATTAATTACATCCACAGTGTTGTAGAACCATCACCACTATTTATTTACATACTTTTTCATTCCCCTAATAGAGAAGTTCTATATTCATTAAGCCAGTGACTTTCCATTTTCTCTTCCCCTCCCCATTCCCTGATAACATACACTCTTTCTCTATGAATCTGAGTAGATATTTCATATCCTCATATTTGGATTGTCTGTGTAGTTAATGGCACAGCCTGGGACTTGGGACTTGTGTTTATGTGTCCTAAATCAGATCCAGGCCAAAGAGTGGTAATCAAGTTAGAGCTATGCATATATTCAATATATCGACTTTCCTACCTTGGCAGCGAATGCTGCCTATTTCCTTGTGACCTAGTTTTAGAGTGAAACTCTCTCATCATCACTTTAGGGAAATAGGGGAATTATCTCTGGTAAAATACCACAGATTAATGAGTTATTATAATGATGATAGTTATATTACCATTTGCTTATTATAGTGTACTTTGGTAAGGTGGGTAGACTTTCTCTTTCCAATAAAATGATGGAGATTATCTGTTTCACATTCATATTCATGCTTCTCACCTACCCCCTGTATTGAACTTATACTACGACACTCCATTTAGAGCCCTTTCCCGCTCTCCTATTTTCTCATGACATCACCACTCACTGCATTCCTTCATCACCATTACTGCTTTACTGCAGACATAAATTGAACCACAATTTTTATCTAGTTTCAGAACTTAGTGTTAGTAAACCTTATATAGATAAGTGCTAGTTCTTTTCAGTTACTAATTCACACAAATAATTGAAGATGTAACATTTGACAAATTCCAGAGATAGAGTGGTACTAAAAGAAATTTCCAGAGAGTTAAACATCCTTAAAGTTTAATTCTTCTAATTTAACAGTATACAGTTTCTGCATTAAATCTATGAGTAGGAAATGGAAGAAATTGTATAAAGAAACAAAACTTGGTAATATAAAAAGTAACACGCGTGTAAAATATGAATCATAATTGAGGCATGAATAAATAATTTCCTTATGCATATATATATATGTGTGTGTGTGTGTGTGTATATATATAGATAGATATACATATCTATCTATATATATAAAGCTGTAACCCAGCCTTCACTGGTGGCAAGGTGGTGTTAGCACTATCACACTATATCACTGTGATTTCAATACCCAGCCAGGGAGCTAACCCAGATAAGGCACGGCAGACTTGTCCTGTCCCACCCACTGCTCCCCTTAGCAACTTATTTCAGTAGATCTGCCTGCCTGTTGTACTCTTCACTCTGTCTCTGGTGAATATTTTTACCACTGCCCACCCAGCCCTGCACCTCTGGCTTACACCCCAGTTCTTGTATGCATAAATAAAATAAAAATAAATGTTTGGAAAAAAAACTAGAACCCAAAGCTTACTTCTTGCATGTCTAGAGAAAAGCTGCTGAGAGGAACTTTTATCCCTTTTATGCTGGCACATCTTTAAAGCTTGCTAGGAAGTTAAGAAAAAGAGTCTCAAGATTAAAAGAATCCTCCAAATATTTGACATAGTTACCAAAAAAGACTCACTAAGATAAATTATGGATAAATTTCAGAATAACAGGGATAAAAAAGTCTTAAAACCCTTCTCAAGAAAAAAATAATAAATCACATGCAAAGGATCAGAAACACTGGAAGATAGAAAACAATGGAGAAATGCTTTGAAATGTTTTCAGGAAAATGTCAATCATTTATGCTATGATAGACAAGCATAAATGAAAAAGATATTTCATATGGTACTTTTAAGATTCCCTCACATGTGGCATTACAATCCCAAGCTTCAAGCTATACTACGAAGCCATAATAATCAAAACTGCATGGTACTGGAACAAGAACAGACATACAGACCAGTGTATTTTGGATAGAAAACCCAGATATAAAACCACAGGTTTACGGGCAGCTAATCTTGTACAAAGGAGCAAAGAAGCTACAATGAAACAAAGAAGTTTGTTCAGCAAATGATGCTGGGAAAACTGGGAAGCTACATGCAAAAAAATGAAACTAGATCACTACCTCACACTATACACAGAAATCAACTTGAATTGGATTAAAAACCTAGATATAAGAACGGAAACCATAAAATACCTGGAAGCAAAGATGGGCCAAACACTATGCGACATACTCTTCAGCAACATCTTAGAAGATACAGCACTTAATGCAATAATAGTGAAGGCAAGGATAAATAGATGGGACTACAACAAGTTAAAAAGCTTCTGTACAGCAAAAGAGACATTACAAAAAACAGACATCCCACTGATTGGGAAAAAAATTTCTCACACAAAACTAGCAATAAAGGATTGATCACAAAGATATACATAAAACTGATGAAACTCAATAAAAATAAACAATCCCATCAAAAAAAAATGGGCAGAAGAGCTAAAAAGACACTTCTCCAAAGAAGTGCAGATGGTCAAGCATATGAAAAATGTTTAACATCACTTGTAATAAGGGAGATTCAAATTAAAACCACAGTGAAGTACCACCTCACCCCAGTGAGAATGGCACACCTTAAAACAACTAGCAGCAACAAATGTTGGCGAGGATGTGGAGAAAAAGGAGACTCCTGCACTGCTGGTGGGGATGCAAACAAGTACAACCACTATGGAAAACTGTTTGGAGATTCCTCAAACTGCTTAACATGGAGCTTCCATATGACCCAGCAATCCCATTCCTAGGTATCTACCCAAAAGACACAAAAACACTGATTCAAAAAGACACCTGCACCCCCATGTTTATTGCTGCTTTATTTACAATTTGAAAGACATGGAAACAGCCCAAATGCCCAAAAGTGGATGATTGGATTAAAAAGATGTGGTATGCAATGGAATATTACTCAGCAACCAAAACCAAAAATAAACATGTGCTTTTTTGCAGCAACATGGATGGAGCTGGAAAAGATCATGCTTAGTGAAATAAGCCAGAAAGAAAAGGAAAAATACCAGAT